CTCCTTTCCATAGTTGTGGCCAGGCTCCAGCCGGCAGCAGAAGCAGCAGCAGTCACAGAAGCAGTAGCCTTAGGCTTGGGCCACTGGCCAGGGTCGGCACGGCCAGCAGCATCAATGATGCCCCCACGACCACACGAGTGTAGACACATGTCCCTCAGCACGAGCGCCACTTCTCCCCATCATTTCTTGGGGTGGCCCTCCCAAAGGTCTCACCTATTATAACAGATTTTGGGTTCAGAGGAACCCTGCTGACTGCACCAGATGTACATCTGGGGAAAGGAAATCCCGGGGCAAAATACCTCTGAAAACCGAAATCAATCAAAGGGAGAAATAAAGTTTAAAACCCGTTTATTGCTCACAAACTGCAGTCCCGGGCCGTCTTTCTCCTCTGCTCTGGAAGAAGCAAAAACCTGCCCTCCCCTCACCTCTCAGATACAGATAAACCCTCCTTGTCTGAGTAATTACCCATTGATATGGAGATGAACTTCTCTCCACCCCTGAGGAATGATATAAATGCACTAAAGCCATACTTCTCTCCACCCTTGAGTGCCTATTGATATGCAGATGTACTAAAGCCAGGAGAGATATTCTGGAAATGGTACAGTTTTACACACAGTTATTAAATGTAAAAGTTACCAGTGGAATTTAGAAAAGACAGTGGACCCAACTCCGGAGTTGGCTCATTGGATAAGTAAGGAAATACAAAATAATAAGCAGGCTAAATATACCATACTCTGGTTATTGTTATCTGTAATAGTCAAAATGAAAATAAAAGAAAGCCCTAGGTCAGGACTTGATGCTGAACCAGCTTGGATCTGAGTCAATCTGAGCTTCAGCCACTAGCCTCAAGGCTGCCTAGAAAGGGAAAAATTATTCCAAAGCGATAGGAAGTACCTCTAAGACCTCTGGGCACCAAGAAAACAGTTAATGTAGGGGGAGGTGAAAACCAGGAAATGTCTGAAACCAGGGGATATGGTGTGAAGGAACTGGCTCCTTTTGTGGATGGTATCACTGGCTTCCTAAAGAACCTTAACTAAAGTGGATTGTGAGAGTCACCAGTTTGGGGGCTGTGTCTGTGGTTTTGAATGCTTCAGAGTGGAAGAGGATGTTTGGGCTAATGTAGGACCCCCAACTCACTACTGAAAAATCACAGATGGCTGTACATGATCCAGACACACAGGAGGTTATTCTTGAGGGAACTGGGTAAGAGCCCCTGTGAGGTCTACTGATCCTGAGAAGGGGATTGCCCAGTTCCCCCAATAAATGCCAAATGGAACACCCCAGATGAATCAGCCTATGTTCTTCATATGCAAGCCATGTGGGATTGGCTTTATGATGACTGAGATATTCATCTGCTGAATATTACTCTTATACAGGTTATGGTGAATGTTGTGATTAAGGGGGCCCCGTTGCATGGGCACCCCATGTAACTTTACTGCTACAAAATAGAACTGTTCAAGATGCCTTTATCAGAATTGCTATCTCAGCTTCCTCATGGGTCTAACTGATACCAAGATCGTTAAGGTAACTAAACTAATGGGAAGGCACAAAGGAGGGAGTCAAGGAAGGGACTTTACCCATCAGAGTGGAACTCTTCAGATGGTTATTGAATAATGGTATGAAAAAAGCAGACATTGATGTGGTTGAAACAAAGGTGTCAGTGCAGCACTACCAGAAATTGGGGGGACCCCTGGGACCCCCTAGTATTCCCCTGATATTACAGAGGCCCGAAAAGTCCACTCTATTTACCCCAGTTTGGAGGGACTTAAATAGCCCGCAGGCCAAGATTACAATGAGAAAACTGACCAGAAATCCCCTGGGGTGGTGGTCGGGCAGGTTAATCAAGTTAAAGATTGGTAAAAGGGCCAGGGTCCTCTGGCCACACCCCCAGCTTGGGCACCTGAGGCCATTTGCATATGGGTAAAATGACCAGGTGGAGGTTAATAACTTTTCTGGGACTCCTTGATACAGGAACCCACTGCCCTGTGATTCCAAAGCCTATTGGTGAAGTCTTAGCTAAGGCTAAGGTTAGATCAGAGAGGCAGTGGTTGACAGGATTAAGGTGAAAGTCTGGATAAAAACTGGGGGACATGAGCAGATCTGTATGAGGTAGTTGTATCTCCTTTACCTGAATGTATTATTGAGATGATTTTATGACTGACTTTAGGGATTGCTTCCTCGACCTAATACTCTTGAACAGAAGGCATGTAAGCCTGCCCTTAGGCTAGTTTTAATTGGACATGTTAAATGAGAATTGAGAACTGCCTGAGCCCCCACAGGTGGTTAACTTGAAGCAATGTAGAATACCTGGTGGGCCACAAGAGATCACCACTGTAATGTGTGACATGCTAGAAGCTAGGTGCTGGTGCCCATTCACTCACTGTACAGTAGTCCTGTGTGGCCTGTGCAAACGGTGGATGGCTCGTGGACACTAACAGACTATCGAGGCTTCAATAAATTTGTACCTCCCACAGCCTCAGCAGTTCCAGACATGGTCTGAAAAACACAAAAAATACAGCAGGCTGAAGGAGGCAGGTACTCAGTGATTGGCCTTGTGAATGCTTTCTTCTCCATCTCGAATCTCTGAAAAGAGCCAACCACAGTTTGCCTTCATGTGGGAAGGATCCCAGTTTACTTTTACTGTGGTGCCACAGGATTATCTGAACTCACTCTCTTATTGTCACAACTTGGTCAGGAGGGATTTGAATTTGATGCAGGTCTCAAGCGTAATAATACACTACATTGGTGACATTATGGTAGTATCAGAAACAGAAGAGCAAGCCAGGACTGATTTGAATGTGATAGTGTGGATAAAATGAGAGTTCCTGTGTCCAGGATTCTCACCTTCCCCTGGTTGACTAGCTCACTGCACACTTGTGGGCAATACATGGCTGTTGACTCTATATAAAGAGCTCTGCCCAGGGCTCTGGGTGCGACATGGTGGCAGGGCTGCAAGGTAGCAGGAGAGCAGAGCAGAGGCTGGAGTGGTGGCAGCACCGAGGACAGAGGCCCAGACAATGGTTGTGTGGAACGACTGTGCAGAGAGGCCCGGAGGAAGGCTGTGTGGGACAACTATGCAGGCAGAGAGGCCCAGAGGACAGCTATGCAGACAGAGGAGCCCAGAGGCAGAGACCAGCTTGCTGCATGCAGACACGCTCTGAGTGAATAGGATTTTAGTGACTGACCTGCCACCTGGAAATAAAGTTGGGTATAACCCTTTCACCCCAAGAACGTTTTGCTGTCATTTTCTTTGGTCACACTGAATCCATAGCGAACTTGCCCGGGACTGAAACCCATTGGCAAGACAGATAGTGACACACATGACCAACTGGGGCTGGTTAATAAACCCAGCAAAGGTCCCAGGATTTGCTCAAACAGTGATATTCTTAGGAATAATGTGGACAGGAACCACCTGGGAATTCCAGTTACCATTCCCCTCACATCTCTGAAGTGCCAGGGTTAATTGCACCAGTGTACGGCCTTTCAACCAGTGACCTCTTCCAAATGACCACTACTGATCATTTAAGTAATGACATCAATTTAGCAAGCTAGAGACTATGCATCCTCTAGCTACTACCATCATGGGGTTCTGTTTGTCTGCCAGGAGATGAAGAATCTGTCACCAAAACCCCATTTTAGTTTGCTTGCTAGAACCACTCCTGACACCATCTATTTGGGTTCCCTGGAAAAAAAGACTAAGGTGGGGAGGTACATGAACTAAGTTTATCAGGGACATGAACAAGGTTTAGTGGGGGGTGGTAGTGCTCCCAGGAGATAGAGGTAAGGAAGTGGGGAAGGCAGGAGTAGGTGGAGGGGGAAAGTGACACGCAGTGAGGATGTAACAGAGGCTTCAGCTGTTCCTATGGGGAACTTTGGAGCTGAAATGGCCTTCAGAGTTGTCTCAATTTTGAGGCAAAGAGGCCAGGTCTCTGTACCCCTGTATCAACTGTCATTGATATAGGCCCTATTTAGCAGGGCACGTAACCTTGGGCGAGAGTTTCCTGCCAGGAAAGCCACGGCTGGTGAGGAGAGCAGCTGTGTGCTATCAGTGTCTGATAGTCCCAGCAACCGAGGAGTCGGGGCCTTGGCCTTGAAGAAGGTATCTAGAGCCCATGGAGTTACATGGCCTAGCTTTCAAGGACCTCATAAACTATTTTATTTTAAAATGTTGTACATTTTCTCTTTCCACCTACTAGAACATAGCTCTGGGAGGAGAGGGACTATGTTTTGTTTACCACTGTTTCCCCAGGGTCTATCACTCAATCCATAGTTGAATGAATCTTATTGGAGGCTTGAGATACAAGGAGGTATAAAAATGGTGATGTGTTATTCAGAATAAGAGTAGCAAGAATAAGAAGAGGTGGGGCTCAGTGTGGGTGTGAAGCCCTCGTCTGAAGGCGAGGCAAGAGGCGCAGAAACAGAGCATTCTCTAATCACGGTGAGGTGGCAGGAGCACAGGACAGGCGTTCAGTGTGCTGTTTATTCTTACCGTCTATGGTCTTCAGTCCAGTGTCTCTGGAGAGACTTGAGTTTTCCAAGCATCCAAATGGTTTGGGGAAAGGCTTTGCACTGTACGTGAGAGGCATTATGGAATAGCAGATGGAGAGTCAGAAGACCTGTATTTGAAATCAGACTTAACCATAATCTGGTGCTGTGGCCTTGGGGAATTCTAATGCTCCCTCAGTGTTCTCATCTGTAGAGCGGGAGCAATAGTATGACTTCACACAGTTGTCTTGAGGACCAAGAGAATGCACGGGAAGCAGAGTGCCACCCCCAGGGTGTCCGCACAGGAGGAGGCCGCTCCCGGGAGGTCGGGGGATGAAACCCAGGAGCCAGAGCCTGGGCAAACTCCAGACTCCAGTCACGCACACAGCCTGCCCACTGACATTCTCCCGTTATCTCTCTCCTCCCCAGCCCACACACGTGTACTGATATTTGTGCTGTTCAGCAGCTAAGTGGTTTTAAAGTCTTTTCCTTATCTTTTCACCTGGCAGGCAGTAGCTGTGTAGCAGCATTGTGCCTATGCAGACGGAGTAAAGGGAGGCTCACCATGGCCTGCGCTCAGCCCCTGGCCAAAGTCAAAGGCCAGCTCCGGATCCGCAGCCTCCTGGCCCGACAGTGCCTGGCCGAGTTTCTGGGTGTATTTGTGCTCATGGTAGGCAGGGTAATTGGGGAAAAGAAAGAGGGGAGGAGGATGGAATTTCTGGCTCCTCCTGGTATCGTTAACCTCCTGGTCCTTCTCTCCTCTTCCGGGTGCCCCACTTCTTTCAGCTGTCCATCATATCTCTGCCCACCCCATCTCCTCCGTTCTTCTCCTACCCCTCATTTTCATCCCTGTCCCTTCCCATCTTACCTTCCTTCCCTTTCTTTACTCTTCCTCTCTTTCTCTGCTTTTCTCCCTTCCTTGCTGATCTTCATGTCTGTTCATCTCTGTCGGTCTCTCCCCTTGCCTTCCCAGGCTCTCTCCCCTGTTGACCCACCAGGATCCCTGTTCCGGGCTCCCTGTTCTTCACCTTCCCTCTCCCCACCAGCTTCTCACTCAGGGGGCTGTGGCCCAGGCTGTCACCAGTGGAGAAACCAAAGGCAACTTCTTCACCATGTTTCTGGCTGGCTCTCTGGCGGTAGTGATTGCCATCTACGTGGGTGGTAATGTTTCAGGTGACGAGGGCAAGGTCTGGCCGTCAGAGGGGGTAGGACGTGCATGTGAGTGTGGGTATATGATGGCAGGGAAAGGGCAGATCCTTTGATGACTCATGGTCATTATGTCCTTGAGCTTGACCAGTTCCTTGGACTGAGATATGACTGTGGCCCCATCTAGCCCCTCCCCTTTCTGTATCTCTCCTCCTCTCACCTAGACGGATAGATGGCAAGGAATGAAAGGTAAGTCCTATCTTCTTGTGTCCCCCAACGAAAGCCTTCTGGGGTTCATCTATGCTCAGGACCTCACCTGCTTGTTCCCCAGACATACCCTGTATTGGTGTGCCTTGCTGGAGCCTTGAGGCACAAGTGCTGTAGGATTAAGAGCAGACAGACTCAAGTTTAAACCTTGGCTTCGCTGTTTAAACCTTGACAAGTTGTTTAACCTCCTTGAGCCTCAGTTTCCTCATCTATATGATGAGAATTGTAATAGCTACCTTAAGAGTCATGGGGAGGAAGAGCAGTGCAGCCTGGTGAGTTCCTGGAAACGACACTTAATGCATGTTAGTTTTCTTTTCTTGATCCTTGCAGGGGCCCATCTGAACCCAGCCTTCTCCCTAGCCATGTGTCTCCTGGGACGCCTTCCCTGGGCCAAGCTCCCCATTTACTCCCTGGTGCAGTTGCTGTCTGCTTTCTGTGCCTCTGGAGCCACTTATGTTCTCTACTACGGTAACAGAGGGAACATGGTTGGGGGCACCTGTGTGTGGGCAGGGGTGCCTTGGAATGGTTTGGATGAGCAAACCATTGGATGGAAATCCTGTGTGTCCCCCTCCTCCCATAGATGCCCTACAGAATTATACAAGTGGGAACCTGACAGTGACTGGCCCCAAGGAGACGGCCTCCATCTTTGCCACCTACCCTGCCCCCTATCTGTCCCTGAACAATGGCTTCCTGGATCAGGTAGGTGTGAGGGGGAGACCTGGGAGCCTCAACTGTTGCTCTGTCCAATGGGACCCCAACCTATCATTCAGGCTCTGGGTGGGATGTTCAGCTAGGTTTCTCTTTGCACCATCCCCAACCCCAGCTGCCTGTGTTGGACAGTCAGCTGACATGGGACGGTGATCTGGGCTGTTGGGGTAAAAGGGGAGAGATGGAGCATCTGACAGCTGATGGAGCCCCTCTGCCTCTGTCAACTCCAAGGTTCTGGGCACTGGGATCCTGATTGTGGGGATCTTGGCCATCCTGGACACACGGAACAAGGGAGTGCCTGCGGGTCTGGAACCTGTGGCAGTGGGGCTGCTGATCCTGGTCATTGGGCTATCCATGGGTGCCAACTGTGGGTTCCCACTCAATCCTGCTCGTGACCTGGGCCCAAGGCTTTTCACTTACGTGGCTGGCTGGGGCCCTGAGGTCTTCAGGTAGATGACTTCCCCTGGTGTCCCCCCACCGCTCTCCCTCTGCTAATTTCTCTGTCTGTCCCTGGGTCCCTCAATCCTTCTCCTCTTAAACCTTGACCTCTTAAGACAAAGTCCCTCCTCTAAGCCCCAGTTCTCCCTTTCTCTCTTGTCCCTCTTCCCCCACTCCATCCTTTTCAAGGAAACAGTTAAGATTTAGAGGCTTGTTCTTGGGCATGTCATATTACCTCTTTGGCATTAGTGGCTTCATTAGCAAAATGGGTCTTTCACATAATTCCCTGAGGCTATAGGCTGGGCCTGACTCTCCTGGGGTCTTCTCCTCTCTAGGTGCTGTGCTTTGACACCCTCTTCCTGGTGTCCGTCACCCCAGAAACCACTTTAGGGAGTTCTCTTTTTGCTACCCCTAGTGCTTCTGGGAGAAGGCCAGAGGAGTCACCCGGATGTCTCCCTTCTGTCCTCTCGCAGCGCTGGCAATGGCTGGTGGTGGGTGCCTGTGGTGGCTCCGCTGGTGGGGGCCACCCTTGGAACAGCCACTTACCAGCTGCTGGTGGCTCTACACCACCCCGAGGACTCAGAGCCTGCTCGGGATCTAGAGTTTGTCCAACACGAGGTCTCAGACTTGGAAACTCCTGCCTCAGCTCAAAAGCCAGAGTATAAGCTTTGATTCCGATATGGCAGCCCTCACCTCCCTCAGGGACACTGAGGAGGGCCAGAGATCCAGGCCTGGTAACAAGACATTCTCTCTCTGTTTTTCTTTCTGAATAATTCTTTTTTTTATTATTATCGAAGTATGTTGATGTACCATTTTATATTGGTTGCAAATATGCAACACAATGGTTCAACAGTTACCCATATTATTAAATACTCACTCCCACTAGTGCTGTTACTGTCCGTCAACATAGAAAGACGTTACAGAATCATTGACTATATTCTCCATGCTGTTCTACTATCTCTGTGACCAAATTGTATTACGACTGAGAATTTTTGTGCCCTTTTATCTCCCTCACCCTTCCCCCAACCCACCCCAACCCCTCCCCCATGGTAACCACCAGTCACTTCTCAGTGTCTATGGGTCTGCTGCTGTTTTGTTCACTTTGCTTTGTTTTTATATTCCACAAATAAGTGAAATCTTCTGGTATATGTCTTTCTCTGCCTGGCTTATTTCACTAAGCAGTATATCCTCTACATCCATCTATGTTGTTGCAAATGGCAGGATTTCTTTTCTTTTTATGGCTGAATAATATTCCATTGTGGATATGTACCGCATTTCTTTATCCATTCATCTATTGATGGACACTTAGGTTGCTTCCATATCTTGGCTATTGTAAATAATGTAGCGATAAATACAGGGGTGCATTATCTTTTTGAATCAGGGATTTTTGTTTTCTTCAGGTAAATTCCTAGAAGTGGGATTACTGGGTCAAATGGTATTTCTATTTTTAGTTTTTTGAGGAACCTCCATACTGCTTTCCACAGCGGTTTTACCAATTTACATTCCCAACGACAGTATAGGAGGGTTCCCATTTCCCCACAGCCTCACCAACACTTGTTATTTTTTTGTCTTTTGGGTAGTGGCCATTCTGACTGGTGTGAGGTGACATCTCATTGTGGTTTTGATGTGCATTTCCCTGATGATTAGCGATGTGTAGCATCTTTTCTTGGGCCTGATGGACACCTGTATTTCTTCTCTGGAGAAATATCTGTTAAGACATTCTCTTTACTAATACACCAGGCCCTGGGCAGCTTCTCTGTTTACTCATGTAGGCATCACTTCCTCCTAAACTGGGGAGGATGCCCGGACAGGGAGAACTGGAGGAAATAAGGTCAGGGGACCCAATGCTCTTCATACCTTCCTCCCACAAACAAGGACTCTGAGGGCTTCCAGGAAAGTATTTCCTCAAAGTAGCCGCCAGAGGGTGCGCACCCTGGAAGCCGGTTGGGAAGGCTGCGGGAATCTGCAGGGTGCTGGGCGCTGACCATTCAGTGGGAGGCATACCTCTGGGGACCTCCTCCAAAGCTTGGTCCCCATTGCCTGACTGCTAGCTTTCGCAACCTCAGCGCCGCCCTTTACCCTCACTGGGGCGCCTCCCCAGATTCAGCCACCTCCAGCTAGGGGTGGGGAGCTGCCTCCCCCGCGGGGGCGTGGTGGCGTGGGCGAGAGGACCGGCCGCGGAACACTGCCTAGAGACAGCGGGAGCAAGGGGGAAACTCAGGCACGACACTCAAGGAGAGGGCACGCACATTGAGAGAGCCGGGGCAGGGAGAGAAGGCGAAGGCACCAGCTCGGAAGGGGGGAGTGTGGGGTTAGGGAAAACTCGCTCGCCACCTCCCCAGCTCTCACGTCCCTCCCCGAAGGACACGCTCTTTCAGGAGAGAAGTCAGCGTTCTCCTGTTAGCTTTCTTCCAAAAAATCCATCTATCCTCCCGATTGATTTTTTTTGGAAGCGGGATATGTTTGGGAGAGGGTGGGCGGGGGTCACGACCTCTCAGCGTTGAGCCGCTGAAGGGCTAAGACCCTCCCCCCGCCCGGCACAAAGATGGCGGCTCCCGCCTCCCGCTCCCTCATCCTCCCCAAAACCCCCTCCCGCCCCCCGCCCTCTCCCGCCACCTCCGTCACTTCCGCCCCGCCGTGGCCGAAACTGACACAAAGTAGCGGGCCGGAGCCCTGGGGGGCAGCGGGGCTGCAGCTGGGGGGGCGGGAGCCCGCGGGGAGCCGAGCCGAGCGCCCCCAGCCCCAGCCCCCGGCATGGGCAGGACGGGGCCGCCGGGGCGGGCGCTGAGCGCGGAGCGCTGAGGTGAGGCGAGGCCGGGAGGCAGCGGGGGATGCGGCTGCGGACGCGGACGCGGGGCTGGACGGGCCGGGTCTGGGTGCGGGGCGGGGAAGACGGGGCCGGGAGTCGGGAGCTGAGGTGTGACGGAGGCGGCGGAGTGGATGATCGGAGGGAAGAGTGTCGGGGTGCCTGAGCACGGGGAGAGCGGAGGCTGTCGCAGGATGGGAGGATGGATGGGGTGCTGAAGGGGCGCGTGGAGGCTGTAGAGAAGCTGATGGAGCAGCGGAGGCGGGAGAGCCGCCCTGAGAGTTGTGGGAGTGAGAGGAGTACCCCGGGTCCGGGGGTTTGGGTGCCTGGAGAGGGGAGTTTGGGGCCGGTAGGGTTTGTTTCTTAAGGTGGTCTGTGTGCTTGAGGAAACCAAGTTGGAAGGAGAGGTGGTAGCTGTGATCGCTCAAGGCTGGGAAGTGAATCCCGGGTTCCGCCCTCGCTGACGGGCGCAGTGCTGGTGGCAAGCGAGCTGGGGGTCTGGGGTTCCATCTTCTTCGGTTTCCCTGACCTGCCCACAAATATCCCTGCCAGCCTCTGAAAGAAGAGGGCGCCCCTCCGGGATCTGGGCTGGAAGGGAGCAGCGGCCAGGCCTGGAGGAGGAGCCGTTTTGCTCCACGGAGCATTGCCTTCTTCCCAGAGCTGGCTATTTTTATCCCAAATGTGGCTGCAGAGGGGGCTGGGGCAGGGCGACGGGCAGGGCGACGTGGCCTGGCCTGATGGTTCAGAAAACCCAGGCCGTGTGAGACTGGGAAGGAGGAGTGAGAGGGGGGGCCCTGTTGCCGGGTCTCCCACTCCCTTTCCCTATTAGGGCCCCCCAGAGGGGATGAGGTCGGCCACCAAGCCAGCTTTCAGTCTCCCCAGGGTCTTAGAGGTAAAACAACTCTCCTGGTCGCTGTCCAGATGTCTGACTCTTAAAAGTGTGTGTGTGGCCCCATCATTAACTCTTTCATAGGACACAAAAATCAGCTTTTGAGCTGATAATATTCTTGATTGCCTCCCTTGCTGAGGGCGGGGCCTGCAATGGAACTTGTGATGCCCACCCTTGCATCCTCTCCTTTGACCTCTTCCTCCACACCCCACCATGAGTCCCATGACTCATACTCTAGACTGGGTGGAGACCCTGGCTGGGGGCCCTGGAGGAGGGCTTGGCATCTCTAAAATGTGGACGAGGTTTTCCTTCCCCAGCCAGGCACTCTGGGCTGCCAGGGTTGGGGAGGGTCGGGGAGGAAAGGGACTTCTGGCTTTCGGTATTGCCTGATCTGGGGTTCAGGAAGGGAGCCCGAGTTAGTGAAGGGATGATTGGTGTGGGTGACAGGGCTATGGCCAGAGTCTGTAATTATAGAGGTTGACAGGCAATTAGTATCTCTTGGGGTTGACAGGCTGGCTTAGTAGGCTGGAGACAGGGGAACCAAGGAGGAAGAAGGCTTTCCTCCTAGGCAGAGAAAGAGGAGATGACAAGAGGACCCAGGACCTGGCTTGCAGTTTCTTTTGGGCCATGCTGGGGAATAGGGCTGAGGCTCTGTGACCCGGTCTTGTAGGCCAGACCTTTTACTTTTTTAGGTGAAAGAAAGGACATGGGATGATGGAAGGAAGCAGAAGCCTGTCTGTCTCATGCTCCCTGAGCTGCACCTAGTCCTATACTCACTGGACAAGGCTTGGGTGGGAGAGAGAGAGGGGCAGTTCCCTACCAGGGTTGGGAAGACCCCTGTGCTGGCCCAGAAGGGTGGTTGACCCAGACTGAGAGGAAGTGGTTTGGGACTGTGGGCCGGAAGTGAAGGCCATGCCTCTAATGTGAGCTCCCCTGGAGGAGGTGATAATGGAAGTCCCAGTAACAGGGGCATGGGGGATTATAACTATTTTGAGAAGGGTGGAGCCTGCCCCCCATGTTTCCTGATGCCCTCCCAGGTGTTTCCTGGCTTATGTTCCTCAACTCCCCCACCCTTTGGTGGAAATTCTGCTTTCCAGTAAACACGGGCACCACTCATTGCCACCAGGAGGGCACATGGAGGCATCCATTGTCCCTGCGATGGGTACTTTGATTGCTCTGCCCCTCCTCTCTGTACCTGGCCTCATCTCTCTGCCTCTTTCCTTTCCCTGCAGATGGTGGCTTCTATAAACTCATTCCCCCCATATTAAACAAGGTAGTGGGGAAATCTCCTTTCCCAGGGACCCATGAGGGAAGTACGAGCAGAGTGTTGGTGTGGAGTTGGTGGGGGAGGCTGGGGAGGGACAAGGTCAGAACTGGGGAAGAGAACCTTCAGGAGGAGGCTGAAAGGTTACCCTCAGCTTCCTGACCTCACGCATATGTCACCTTCCTGCAGGGTCTCCCATGGGATTGCTGGGACCTTGCTGGGTGAGATGGCACTGTGTGCAAAAAAGCGCCCCCCAGGTAAGAGGCAGGAGGAGGTGGAAATCCATGCGACCATCGAGAGTGGGTGTTGTTATGCTCAGGGAGCAAAGGGAAGAGGGACGACTGGTGATGAGTGTGAGGAGGGTAGATTGCAACCCCTGCCCATCCCGGGGGAGCCTAGGAAACAGACTTCTTCCCCTTGATCCCTGAGCTAGGTTCTCCTCCGGAAGGGTGCTGAGCACCTGTCCCTAACCCCAAACACTTAGATGCTTGATCCTGGGGCACCTGGACTTTTCTGGCCTGGGGAACGGTGTTCCTGTCTTCCCGCCTCCGTCCTCACTTCTCATCTCCCCGTCCTTTTTCCCTTCATGTTTCCATCCACCCAGGTCCTCCCGGTGTTCCTGCGGGGGGTGGGGGTGGGATGAAAGTGGTTGCTCGGGACGACACTGGCAGTCCCCTCGCCCGCATTGCCCGGGCCGGGGGGCGGGGCTCCGCACTGGCTTTCGCCTACGCGGCGCACTGGCAGGCGGCGGCCCCTGCAGTCCGAGAGCGGGCGGGGGCGGGGCCTGGGGCGTGTGCACCGCGCTCGGGGCCACTCAGCGCGCGCTGGCATCCGCGGGGGGCGCTGGGGGCGGGGGCAGCGGCGGCGCGGCCGAGCGCGCGGCGGTCCCGGGTGCGGGCGGCGGGGAGGATGGCCGGGGCTGCAGGCGGGGCGCGCGCCCGACGGCCGGGGCTCCCCTCTGAGCGGCCGCAGCTCCTGCGCCTCCCCGGGGGGCCGGCCCATCGGCGCCGCTGAGGCCAAGGACAGAACGACAGACACTCCGCCCGCCCCCGCTCAAACCGGGATCATGACGGTCCCCAAGGAGATGCCCGAGAAGTGGGCCCGGGCCGGGGCGCCCCCCTCCTGGAGCCGAAAGAAGCCCTCTTGGGGGACAGGTAACGGGAGGCAGCGCCTGGCAGCTCTCCCGAGAGCGTCATTTCCCCCTCCCACCCGCACATTGCTTGTCCTCAGCCTCCCTCAACCTTCCCCGATACTCTCCTTTCCAAACCCAGAGATCCTGGCTGTGAGAGGTCCTGTCCCTACCGCTCCCTTTGCATGGTCTTTGGTGACTGCGCAGGGGCTCGATCCAAGGTTTCCTTCTGGGGAAGTTTCTGGGAGTAAAGTGACCGCGCAGGGAAGGAGCTCTCTGGGTCGGCAGAAGATGCTGTGGTTTGAGGTTCTGTTACTGCAGTGTGCTCTGTGGGGGTCTTGGGAGGGGTGAGGGAAGGCGTCTGGAAGGTTGCCTTTGACTCCAAGACAGGTTTAAGGCATTTTGTTTACTGCCTAATCACACTACCCCCTTTTCCAGCCTGTGGTTATCTGACCCACCTTCTGACTCCAGGAGGTGGGCTGGAGAACCCTTCATAGGACACCTTCACGTTCTGGGATCTGAACTTGGTGCCTGCAGTCCCAGATCTGCAGAGGTTCAGGAGAGGTGTAGCTCATTTGACACTCAGTGACAAAGGTGTTGTTTAGGAGCAATGTGTGCAGATGGCACAAGGAGGGTTATAGTTAGGGAGCAACTGTGTCAAGAACATCTCATTCCTACCTCCTTCATTTCTATCTCAGTCTGCATGATCCATATCCCCCCTTCTCTTGCTTGACTATGAGCTTTGAAATAAGGTGATGTCATTGTGAGCCAGTCAGAAGCCACTGCTGGTGACATGTGACAAGCAGAGGCTCCTGTAGATGGGACTGCACGTGGGCCTGAGATACTGCTGCAGAGGAGTTCAGGGCACAGTGACCCTCAGGCTTGCCACCCACCCTGCCCCCCCCCCCCAGGTTAGGGGGAGGAGGTACCATGGCTAGTAGTTCTGCAGGAGGTCCCAGAGGAAGGAAGCTTTGTGTCTTTGGCCGCTGGTCTTCTGAGGATTCCCAAGGCCATTAACGCATAAGGTTTACTTAAAGGGGTGGAGGTGAGGAACTGAGTGCGTCCAGTGGACACCCTTGACGGTTTATTGGGGAGGAAAGAAGGCTTTTTCCTGTGAGTGCAGGCCTGCAGAGCCAAGGAATCAGGCTGGCCGTGAGGGGTGGGCTGGAGGGAAGAATTTAGGGATGCCTCAGGTGTGCTAACTCCTTAGAACGGTATTGTGGGAAGAACCGAGGGCCCTCCGTGAAACCCCTCGAAGTGGGTGGGCCTGGCAAGGTGTTGGGCCAGGCCCTAGTGTGCCCTTCTGACTGCAGCATTATTCTGTTGCAGAAGAAGAAAGGAGGGCGCGGGCCAATGACCGAGAATACAATGAGAAATTCCAGTATGCGGTGAGTGGCTCTGCCACCCCCCTGCCCCCTTCCCTCCTCCTGAGTTGGAGAGGAGAGAGTTGTGGGAACATCCTAGGTGGGGATGAAGGCTGAGTGGACAATGCTTGGGGGAGGGGAAGGCAGCTTCCCCACCAGTCTCCATCTGCTACTGTGCTGAATTTTTCATGCCTTCACTTGTGAGTGAAGCAGGTTACACTGACCCTATGCACCTCCCTTCTCACCTCTTTCCCCTCCCACACTGGTGGTTGCTGGCTTTGGGGGCAGAGGTTTGGGAAGTGTAGGTGGAGGAAAGTTTGCTTCAGGGTTGGGACTGGAGGGGCCTCATCATCTTCTCTCCCACTGCCACAGAGTAACTGCATCAAGACCTCTAAGTACAATATTCTCACCTTCCTGCCTGTCAACCTCTTTGAGCAGTTCCAGGAAGTTGCCAATACCTACTTCCTGTTCCTTCTCATTCTGCAGGTAAGTGACCTGTAGCAGACACTTTGCAACTCATAAAGCCGAATAAAGTCAAGGAAGAGAAAGGTCTGGGGGAAAAGAGGGCTCAGGGTGGGGCCTCAGAGGTATATCTTCTCTTTCCTCTTGTCAGCTGATCCCACAGATCTCCTCCCTGTCCTGGTTCACCACCATTGTGCCTTTGGTTCTGGTCCTCACCATCACAGCTGTTAAAGATGCCACTGATGACTATGTGAGTTGTTTGCATTCTTATGCCTCTTCCCCAGCCTCCAACTCACCCTCTGCCTCCCAGCACAATTCTTGGTGCCCTTGCCACCCCTTACCTTGTCCAGCTAGATCCATGATACTTTGGCTGAGAGTAGGGATGGGGAGTCAGGGAGAGAGTAGATCTGTGAATTGAGGTACCCAGCATACTATGTAATTCGTGGATCATCTAAATCCCTTGAAGCAGGAGAAGATACCTTAACCTTTATTAAATCTCTTCTTTTCAGTTCCGCCACAAGAGTGATAACCAGGTGAATAATCGTCAGTCTCAGGTGCTGATCAATGGAATGTGAGTGCTTGCCGGAGACTGAAGGCACTGGGGAGGAAAGGGGCCCCTGGGAGCGCCTGACTGCTGACAGCCTCTTCTCTCTGCCTCAGCCTCCAGCAAGAGCAGTGGATGAATGTATGTGTTGGTGATATTATCAAGCTAGAAAATAATCAGTTTGTGGCGGTAAGAGACAAGGTGCCCCTCTAGGCCTACAGGGCTCTTCCTTCTCTTTGGCAGAAAGGGATGGGTCTTTTCCTGATTGACTGTTGCCTCTTTGACTGTTGTTCCGTGGAAGGAAACTTTCTTGGGTGGGCAGCTTCTTTGGTGTATTCATATGCCTACACTGACTCCTTTCTAGCCCTTTCACGCTTGGGACTGAGCAAACCAAGAATGCTTTGCCAATGGAGGGCTCATCAGAGAGTCCACTGGGGGTGGAAGATGGGGTCTTTGGGCTTCTCATTAGTTTTCTCTCTAGGCGGATCTCCTCCTCCTTTCCAGCAGTGAGCCCCATGGGCTGTGTTACATAGAGACAGCAGAACTTGATGGGTAAGTCACATGCTCAGTGTCACACCTCTCCGGCCTCCATAGAGGTGAAAAGCTTGTTTTTTGAAAGAGGTTTCTAGATCTGGGATCTGTACTTTTTGGAAAACTTAGGGGTAAAAAAGGCTTTGGGTGTGTAAAACTATATCACTCACCCAGTAATGAGAGTGTATGGGGGTGACGATGCCCCATGGTCAGGTGCTCCCAGGTAGAATCTGGAGGAAGGGAAGGGAACCAGGGCTCAGGGACGCTGTCCTTCCAGAGAGACCAACATGAAAGTGCGTCAGGCGATTCCAGTCACCTCAGAACTGGGAGACATCAGTAAACTTGCCAAGTTTGATGGTGAGTAATTTTGGAGAAGCAGCTTTTGGGTAGAGGAGGTAGGTTGGGTTTTGGGGTTTAAATTGCACTGATGGTCAGTTCAAGAGATTGTCATGGCTTATAGCTCCTCCTTGCTGTGCGTGTTGAGAGAAATCCAGCTTGTTCTCATTCACCTCAGAAAAATGATGTATACTTCTAGGAAGACAAACTACATAGAATGTCTAAGAAAAATCCCTCCTACCCTCCAGTTCCACTGTCCTTAAGTAGCCAGGTTTACTGGCCAGTCGGTGTGTATCATCTGTACTTTTCTCTGTTTATACAAGCATGTGAACGTAAGTCAGTGGGCTCCTACTGCACCAAAATTCTTTAACCTAATACATTCACCACAGGTATCTTATCACATCACTATAGAGGGAAATTTAGTTCATTCTTTTCGGTAGCTGCATAAGGTTTCACGGAATTGATATATCATAATTTATTCAACTATTCCCTGACCATTCCATTGTTTCCAGTCTTTTGGTGTTCAAATAATGCTTCATTAAAAATTGTTGTGACCTGTGCTGCTCTCTCTGTATGTAGGGTTACGGAGCCCAAGGGTCTTTGTGCTTTAATGTTAGATCATGCTGCTTCATCCCTTCCCCAAAAGTTGTACCAGCTGTTCCCCCTCCCACCAGCAGTGTGCAGACGGACCCATGTCCTAACACTGTCTTCCTCAGCTGCTTTGTCTGGTTTGTTGTCTCGCAGTCAAGCTATTGACTGTACCTTGAGTGGTGGCACTCTTGTCTTCCATTCAGGTGAAGTGATTTGCGAACCTCCCAACAACAAGCTGGACAAATTTGGCGGAACCCTCTACTGGAAGGAGAACAAGTTCCCTCTGAGCAACCAGAACATGCTGCTGCGGGGCTGTGTGCTGCGAAACACCGAGTGGTGCTTCGGGCTGGTCATCTTTGCAGGTGAGCCTCCTAGAATCCAAGGAAAGCTGGGTAGGAGTTGGTGCCTCAGTCTTCCCTCAGGAATGTGGGAGGAGGCTGAATGGGTTGGTGCAACACGTAAGGTAAAAACCCTTTAGCCCTGAATACAAGTCTCTTAACCAGCCAGTGTCGCTTTGTCCCTGATGTCCTATAGTCTGGGGACTAGGGCAGAAGCCCAAAGACAGGTTTGTTGTTTGGCTTTTCCAGACCTTCACGTTCTTTTCTAGGTCCTGACACTAAGCTGATGCAGAACAGCGGCAGGACAAAGTTTAAGAGAACAAGCATTGATCGCCTGATGAATACACTGGTGCTCTGGGTAAGGCTGCCCACGTATGGCTCCCCGCCCCTGCCCTTGGGGCTCTCCCTGGGCAGTTCCCTCTGCTTCCATCTCTCTTCCCTGGTCGGTAGTCAGGCTTCAGGTTTTGGCTTTAAAGCCACTGGCAGGTCAGTCACACAAAGACAGTGTTTATTTCAGTCTCCATTTAGACTTGGAAGATGTTATTTAAAAACCTTAGGAACGTGCATGAATCAAGAAACTAAAAGAAAGCTAAAACAAATCTTCCCTTCTCTGGGTTCGTTATGGTGATGACGCAGTGCAACATGTGGCCTTCTGTTTGCCTTTGCCAGGGACAAGGAGGCCTTCATGGGGATGGAGAGGGAGTTAAAAGAAAAATTTCCATTTGGAGGATGGATAACGGGGTCTTTTCCCCTGACTTCTAAGAGTGAAAGATCCCAAAGGAAAAGTTTCTGTTTTAGTTTTTGGCAGTTCCTGAATCCTTCTCTTGTTTGGCTAGAAATTTGAGCTCCTTGTCGGGCTCTCTTCCCCTTTTTGCACCCCCACTTCCTGCTGCCTGCCCCCCACATGCCAGCTTGCAAAGGCTGGAGCGAGCGTCTGGTGAGTTTCTGCCCTCCTTGGCAGTGCTGAAACCCAGCATGAGGGAGAGCAGGTCAGTCAGTCATTCAAAGGCTCACGTCGCCCCCTAGTGGTCCTTGGGCAGCAGGATGGTTCCTGTTGTGTTTAAAAGCATCATGCGTAGGGGCTCCTTTGGAGGTAGATGTATGAAATCAGACAGTGGTCCCAGTTTTTTTTTTTTTTTTTTTAATGACAAAAAGATTCTTATGACCCTTCAAAGACTCCAAATTTTATGAGATTTTTTTTTGTCTATCAAGAAACCTACATTTGTGAAGAAAATTCATTTCCCTGGTTAAATATTTTTTTGGCAATCTGTATGAGAAAGTGAACATCACAGAAACATTTTTGGTGGCTTGTGGAGGCTTAGCTCAGGTGAATGAGTGATTTCCAGTAAGCTTCTTTGGTATGTTGAAAGTAATTCCCCCTTACTCTTAACTATCTTTGAAGACTCAAGGCTTCTGGGATGTCAGACTGGGGACTGTGCATCGGTTGCAGCTTCCTCATCATATAGTTGAGAAAAATGTTCAGAGAGAAGGCCACCCGATTGTTGGTGGCAGACTAGAAACTGTCCCTAGGTCTGGGTGCTCGGTACTAGAGCAAGCCGCCGTTTTAAAGATGCCTGAGGTTTTGAAGGCTTGAGGTTTTGAAGGCCCTGAGTGATGACCTTCAGGGATGCACCTGGTTTTGAGGGCTTTCAAAGTGGCAGCCTAATCTCTGCTTCTCATTCCTTTCTAGATTTTTGGATTCCTGGTCTGCATGGGAGTGATCCTGGCCATTGGCAATGCCATCTGGGAGCATGAGGTTGGGACACGCTTCCAGGTCTACCTGCCGTGGGATGAGGCTGTAGACAGTGCCTTTTTCTCTGGCTTCCTTTCCTTCTGGTCCTACATCATCATCCTCAACACCGTTGTGCCCATATCGCTCTATGTCAGGTACGTGCATTTTCTGCTTTAGGGGTCTGTCCAGGGACCTCAGGTGGCTTCTCGGCAAACTTTACTTTTCTGTGAAGGTGAAATCCTCAAGAAGGAACTTGAAGGCCTCTTCTTCCTGTACCATAAACATTTTGTGTTATCTGTTTATCTTTGTGGGCAGAGCAAACCTCACCACAGTTTCCTGGCACTTTGGACTGTATTAGAACAAAAACCATATTGATTTATTCGGCACATACTTAACTGCATGCTGACATTGTGCAAAGAGGAGTACTAGGTGTCATGACACATACAAAGCTATATTAGGAATGTATCTCCTTCTCTCTAGGGGTTTCAGTCCAATGGAAGAAGAAAAATCTAAAACACATAAAACAATGGGAATAAGTACTGTAGAATCATTCCACCTACAGTCTTACGTATAAAGCAAGGGAACACAGATGTGTAACATGGCCTGCCTTCAAAAGCAACAGACTAGTGGGGAGGAGGAATGCCAAAGTGTAAGGCACCAAGATACCATGTACCCCACCGAGACTGCCACGTGGAGTGCCATGGGCATTGGGAGAACATTGTTTCCTGTACAGATAATTAGGGAGGAGGTCTGTGGAGAGGTGGCTGGGATGGGTGAAGGTGGAGCCCAGGGCACAGGGCTAGAACCAAAGGCATGGAGATACAGGGATCTAGGAATGGCCACAGAACAGTTTGGCAGGTGCATGGGCATGGACCATGGGTGGGCAGCTATGAGAGCTGGAAACAAGCTTGTTCCTGATTGTGGACGGTCTTAAATCTTTGCCAGTGGCCTTTGGATTTATGAACCATTAAAAGATTAAAAAATAAAAATTCTGAAGAGTGCTTCAGGAAGTGTTGGCTGGCGGTGGTGTGCAGCACAGTTTGTTTAAGGTCAAGAGAATGTTAGCAGGGACTGGGCCAGTGAGGAGGAACTGGGGGAGGGGGAATATCAGAGGGGGATGAAGAATGGCCAAAGAGTGTCTTGTACTTAGTGCCTTTCACTTGACATAAGGAAACCTGCAATATTTTTAAGGAAATGCTTTGTGGAGTTGCTTAGAAGTCTTCCGTGTGCCTTTTTTTGTTCACCCGAATTTCCCAGATAGCCCTCAAGTCGGCCCCCTGGCTGAGCCCTAGTGCTGAGGATAGTGAGTACAAGATGGGGTGTCTGTGTGAATGCTGGGTGTTGGGGCTTTTATGTAGCACTCAGGACACTCCCAAGGCACACGGTTTCATCCTGCCCACTCACTAGGCACATACCCTCAAGCAAACCCGGTCACTTGGGCCCTCGGGTTTCTCAGGTAAAACGAGCAGCATCATACCTGTTCCACCTTCTTTATAGGAATGTCTTGATATTGGGTACTAGATTGAAAAATATATTGATTATATACAAATATGGGGTAGGATGCCCATCATTATCATCACAGTTCTCGTTCTTCAGTACTGTTTAAATGTTATCTTGTTTACAGTCTAAATTTTTTTTTACGTCTTTGGGCTTTGCTCTCAGTGTTCTGTGTCCAAGTTCACTGGAAGCCCATGGAGGCTGCCTAAGACATTTCTTTCTTGGTCTGACCAGGTTACAGTGTGTTTGGGGGACGGGGTGGGAGAGGCTCTGAAGACATTGCCCGCCAGCTCGCTTGTTGCCTGGCAGCCTCTGGTTGAGGCAGGGTTCCAGCTGTGGCCCCACTGCGTAGCTGTACCTGACCTAAGCACAGGGCCCTTTATGAAACGCTGACAGTTCATATCCCAAAGACGTTCTGCAAAGGAGAGGATGCGAATGGTCACTGGGATGTTGAAAGCACCATGCCGCTGTACACTGGCATTATTTCCCAGGTTCCTGAGGCCCCACTGCCTTCCAGAGCCAGTGTTTGCCTCTTGTTCTTTCTGAAAGTGCAGAGTTGGGGTGTGGAAGCGGAGTGCCGTGCCTGTGTTTGGGCCTCGGAGCCTTCCTCGGTTCCTTTCCCCACGGCGGCCCCTCTTGGAGGCGGCATCTGCGATGCTGAGGCCTGCGCAACGCCCTCATTACTTCTCTCTCTTTTTCTCCCCCTTGCCTCTTGCACTTTCTCTTGTTTCTCTGCATGGTTTCTGTAATATTAGTCTTGAGGTAAGAAATGGTTGAGTGCCTTGTCCATGGTCCCTTTTTCTCCTCTACCTGTGCTGTCCCCCTGCCCAGGCCCTTTGCACCTTTTTGTCCGGAGAGCATCAGAGGGTCGGGGTCAGGGTTGGAGCTCCTTGCTGGCTGCACGAGGCCGGCACCACCTGCCGGCTCCCCTTGCCCTTCCCGCCAGGCTCCTGCACCCAAGGTGTCTGCTCCTTCCCGTTCTCCCCAGGTGGAGGGCCTGCAGCCAAGGCAGTGGGGTGGGCACCTCTGCCCCCTGCTGCCCGAGCCTTACTTCCTGTCCCCTGTGCAGTGTTGAGGTCATCCGCCTGGGCCACAGCTACTTCATCAACTGGGACAAGAAGATGTTCTGCATGAAGAAACGGACGCCCGCGGAGGCCCGCACCACCACGCTGAATGAGGAGCTGGGCCAGGTGGAGTACATCTTCTCTGACAAGACGGGCACACTCACCCAGAACATCATGGTCTTCAACAAGTGCTCCATCAATGGCCGCAGCTACGGTAGGGCAGTGCCCCGGGGCCCAGGGCTCACCCCTCACCTGTGAGGATTGTCCTGGGGCCCCCACAGTTGTCTGGACATTTGGGTTTTGCTTCGTCCCTCCTTGGGTCTGCAGGGCCTTGAAGGGGTCTGCTCTGTGTCCCTTGTCAGGAGGCAGACACCGCCAGTGCTTCCTATCCCCTGCCGAAGCCCTCAGCCTCAGCTCCAGGCAATGGGGGAGCTCCTTGGCCGTTTGGGGTGAAGCTCTGGCCTCTGGGCATCGTTGGCTGCTCTGGTGGAGTGCTAGACTCTCCCGTGTTGCTGTTCAGGGCCCTGTGAGTCTCTGGAGTGTGACTGTGGCCTTCCCGGTGTGGCCCTGCTGCAGTGGCCATGTGGCTGAGCTGCTGGGATGGCTGGGGCAGGGTGTGTGGGGCCCGACTTTATGCACAGTGGGCCCCTTTCATAATTGCTTTCTGTACTAACTCGGACCTTATGGCCAGTGTGTGAGGTTTTGTGTGTTATGGAGGCCTAACGTGAGAAAGGACCTGAGAAGGCCTGGGAGCCCTGGGGTGGAGGGTTGAATCGGAGCTGCCCTGGGAGGAGAGCTGGGGTGGGGCCGGGGCTGGGGAGTAGTGGGTGCCGTGACTTGCGGTCTGGAGCTCCTGTGGTCTAGCGTTCCAGGGTGCCCATTGCTTCCTGCCCCTCCAGGCGGCAGTGTGGATCTGCGTGCCATCTGCCCCATGATGAGGGTTGTGGGCTCTGGGCGTCTGCGGGGATGGTGCTGAGGTGTTTCCCCTCTGAGCGTCCTCTAACTCTGACTCCGCTACTTTTGTCCTGGTGGTGTGTAGGTGACGTGTTCGACGTCCTGGGACACAAAGCTGAATTGGGAGAGGTAAGGCCCAGCTTCCATAGTTAATCTGCCTGCCAATTAAACATAGGATGCTTGACCAGTAACAGGTGGTGTGGGTAGGAGTGATGTGTTGTCTGGTCAGGAAATGAAACCTACTTGGAGACGTGGGTGCTTCAAGGAAGAATTGTAGCAGCAGTGAGAATTTTGAGGTGTTCAGTGGACAGTATCTTGGGTCCCCCCACTGCGATTTGAAAGAACAGGGAATAACAGGGTGGGGACAGTGTCTTCCCGGGAATGCAGCCTGGCGACCCACCCTTTACTAATTGCCCCCTTACCTGCTGCAGAGGCCTGAACCCGTCAACTTCTCCTTCAATCCTCTGGCTGACAAGAAGTTCTTATTTTGGGACCCCACCCTCTTGGAGGCTGTCAAGATAGGGGACCCCCACACGCAGGAGTTCTTCCGCCTCCTTTCCCTGTGTCATACTGTCATGTCTGAAGAAAAGAGTGAAGGTGAGCCGAGGGCTGGCTTGTGCCCCGCCCCCCCCGCTGGAGTCGTGCCTTCGAGCTTGGGCTCTGCCTCTACAGTGTGGCTGGGCTGGGGCTTCCGGGGTGGGACACGCTTCCAGGAGTGTTCTTCCCCACCCAGGGGAGCTGTACTACAAAGCCCAGTCCCCGGACGAGGGGGCCTTGGTCACCGCAGCCAGAAACTTCGGTTTTGTATTCCGCTCACGTACCCCCAAAACTATCACTGTCCACGAGATGGGCACAGCCATCACGTATCAGCTGCTGGCCATCCTGGACTTCAACAATATCCGCAAGCGGATGTCAGTCATCGGTGAGGCCAGGACAGGGATGCGGGGGTGATTTGGGGGCCACATGCAGGCCTGGAATGGGCGAGGTGTGCTGGGTAGCGTTGCTCACGTGCTGAGGCTCGTGGCCTGAAGTTTTCCTGGGACATCTCCCTCTGTCCCGCTTGCAGTGCGGAATCCGGAGGGGAAGATCCGGCTCTACTGCAAAGGGGCTGACACCCTCCTACTGGACAGACTCCACCACTCCACCCGGGACCTGCTCCACACCACCACGGACCACCTGAACGTAGGTGTGAGGGAGGGCAGGGCCCTGTGCTTCTGCTCCTCTCGGTGCTGGGCAGGGGGGAGTGGGGTGACTCTCTCGGCTCTGCCTCTAGGAATATGCAGGGGAGGGGCTGAGGACCCTGGTACTGGCCTACAAGGACCTGGACGAAGAGTACTATGAGGAGTGGGCTGAGAGACGACTCCAAGCCAGCCTGGCCCAGGACAGCCGGGAGGACCGGCTGGCCAGTGTCTATGAGGAGGTTGAGAGCGACATGATGGTACGGGCCGCAGAGTGGGCCAAGGGTGGGCAAGGAGGGCTCGTGCCCGGGACCCCGGTGCCAGGGAGCTTTGTGGTGTTTCCAGCTGTTGGGGGCAACGGCCATTGAGGATAAGCTTCAGCAAGGAGTCCCGGAGACCATTGCCCTCCTGACACTCGCCAACATCAAGATTTGGGTGCTGACTGGAGACAAACAAGGTGAGAGCTGAGCAGGGCAGAGGAAATTGCATCCGGACGCAGCCGCGTTGGGTCCTCGCGTGAGGCAAGAGGGTGCGCTGACCTTGCTGGGGGCCTGTCTGTAGCTCCTGCATTCTCTCTTGGTAGAGACGGCCGTGAACATTGGCTATTCCTGCAAGATGCTGACAGACGACATGACGGAGGTGTTCATTGTCACTGGACACACCGTCCTGGAAGTGCGGGAGGAGCTCAGGTACTCGGAGGCCTGAGGCAGGCAGGTGTTCTGCATTGTGCACCGGGTCAGGCAGGCCTTCCTGGGCCTGTTTGGGCTTGAATACCTATTCCTGTCAGAAGCCCTTACTCCTGTCCTGGGAGACCATGGCCTCATTCGCCCCACAGGAAAGCCCGGGAGAAGATGACGGACTCGTCCCAGGCTGTAGGCAATGGGCTCGCCTACCAAGAGAAACTTTCTTCTTCCAAGCTCACCTCTGTCCTGGAAGCCGTTGCTGGGGAGTACGCCTTGGTCATCAATGGGCACAGCCTGGTAAGTGTCGCCATCCTTAGCTTACGTAGTATCTTTCCAGAGAGCACTTCTCTCCGTACTGTATTTATGGCTTATCTTGCTCTCATTTCCCTAGACTTCAGAGGGGCTGTGGTCTTTAAGTGGACGAGGGGTTGACTCCAGGTCTCTCCTGGGGGGAGACTGGGGCTCTCAGGGCTCTCTGTGTTCTAGGCCCATGCATTAGAGGCAGACATGGAGCTGGAGTTTCTGGAGACAGCCTGTGCCTGCAAAGCTGTCATCTGCTGCCGGGTGACCCCTTTGCAGAAGGCACAAGTGGTGGAACTGGTTAAGAAGTACAAAAAGGCTGTGACACTTGCCATTGGGGACGGAGCCAATGATGTCAGCATGATCAAAAGTGAGTGTGTTTGTAGGTGTGTAGGCTGGGTGGGAAGGTCAGGAGAGGTCCCCTGAGGTCTCAGGACCAGGGAGGGATGAAGGGGTCGGGAGGCTCTAACTTGGTGGGATTCTGAAGTGTGTGACCATCTTCACCCTCTTGTCTCTACAGCCGCTCACATTGGTGTGGGCATCAGTGGGCAGGAAGGAATCCAGGCTGTCCTAGCCTCAGATTACTCCTTCTCCCAGTTCAAGTTCCTACAGCGCCTCCTGCTGGTGCATGGACGCTGGTCCTACCTGCGCATGTGCAAGTTCCTCTGCTATTTCTTCTACAAGAACTTTGCTTTCACCATGGTCCACTTTTGGTTTGGCTTCTTCTGCGGATTCTCAGCCCAGGTAGCGAGCTCCCAGCCCACTGGCTTGCCTATCTGAAAGCTCCTGAGGGCAGAGGTTGCACCTGTCTTGTTTATCGCTCAGTCCCTAGGGCCTAGATATTGTCTGCTTCACGCCTTTAAAAAATGCTTGACAAGGAGTGGAGAGGGAGCTCCAGGAAATTCTTTAGGGTTCTGCGTACGCCGCATCTGCTGCCTTCTTCCTCCTGGTTCGCAGTGACAAGAGACTATCTACTACTCTTTTGTTCTCTTCTCTTTTCAGACCGTCTATGACCAGTATTTCATTACCCTTTATAACATTGTGTACACCTCCCTCCCAGTCCTGGCGATGGGGGTCTTCGATCAGGTATGGGAGAGCTTGATGGTCAAGCAGGGTGGGGGAAGTACATGGCTGTGGAGTTGCACTCGTACTGGGTGGGGGTGCCCCTTGGAGCCGCTACCTGTGGCCCCTGGGAAGGCAGTGCTTCCGGCGGGGGGTGTTCTGGTTTTCCCTCTCAGCTGTTAGCTGACCTGCAGCTTCCCTGGTCATGTTGAGCACAGATGGACTGGTGGTAGTTGACTTGAGGTTGGAGCTAGCTGTCCAAGAATTGGAATGGAGGAGGCAGAGAGAGGGTCTGCTCTTGGCTCCCCTGAGTCAGAACGGCAGCTTCTGAGGCCTGGTGTGCCCCCTGGCTCTGCCCACACAGGACGTCCCAGAGCAGCGGAGCATGGAGTACCCAAAGCTCTATGAGCCAGGCCAGCTGAACCTCCTCTTCAACAAGCGGGAGTTCTTCATCTGCATCGCCCAGGGCATCTACACCTCCGTGCTCATGTTCTTTATCCCCTACGGGGTGTTTGCCGAGGCCACTCGGGATGATGGCACGCAGCTAGCAGACTACCAGTCCTTCGCAGTCACTGTGGCCACCTCACTGGTCATTGTGGTCAGCGTGCAGGTATGAGGGAAGGAAGACTGCCCTCAGCTCTGGAAGGAATGAGCTTCCTGTCCCTGGAGCTGCCCCTGGGCACTGCAGCTCTGTTCCCGGCATGGGGATGGGTTTGGGGGGGGGGAATGTTCCTCCTGCCTGTGATAACTGCTTTTTGCAGATTGGACTGGATACAGGCTACTGGACGGCCATCAACCACTTCTTCATCTGGGGCAGCCTAGCTGTTTACTTTGCCATCCTCTTTGCCATGCACAGCGATGGGCTTTTTGACATGTTTCCCAACCAGTTCCGGTTTGTGGGTGAGTCCCTGTGGCTTCCTCTTGAATCTGGGAGGAATCACAACTGTTCTGGGACTGCCAGAGCTTCATGAGCTTTTACTTAACACTGCTTCTTCCAAAAGGTGCTATGGGCATATCAGGCCCTGCCCTCAGAGTTTCCATATCCATGAAAGTGAGAGCAGCCCTGTCAGGCATGGGAGGCCAGGGCTCCAAGGGAGGCCATGACCACAGGGACTGCTCGTGGGGTGGGTGGCCAGGGACAGTCCCATGGGGAAGGCATCTGTGGGCGGAGGCAGGAGGGGGATCAGACTGCAAGTTGGAGATCTGGAAGTGTGAAAGGGTGGGGCTAGAATGCCCGCTGAGAAGCCATGGAAGAGCGGCTGGGAAGGTAGGACATTCGAGAATCCCAGGCTGTCAAGTGTGCATGTTATGCCAGGGATCTTTTTGTATTTTTGAGGAGAGAATGGGGCAACGGCATCAAAGGATTACTTTAGACTAAAGGTGAACTTGGCAGTGACGGCCAGTGAGGAAGCTGCTGCCATGATCGAGTTCAGGGCTGGCGCCAGGGTTGCCGTGCTGGCTGGCATAGAGGGGTTGGTTGGGAGGCATGAGGTGAAAGAGATGCAGGTGTTGGCATTTGCTCTAGATCGGTTCATCCATCAGTGGGCATTCAGTCAGCACCTGCTGTATGTTGCCCACTATTCTGGATGCTGGGGATGTGACAATAACAAAATAGCAAAGTCCTTGCCCTCCTGGACTTGTAATTCAACAAGAAAGACAACAACTTACAATTAACAGATACAATGTCTGAAATTGTAAGTCCCATAAAAAATATCAAGCAGTGTAGAGAAGGACGAGTAGTCACGGAGACCTCTTGAGGAAGGGACGTTGGCACAGAGAAATCTGGATAAAGGGAAGGAGTGAGCCATGTGGCTCTCTGGGAAGGAACTGTTCTCCGGGAAGGATACAAAGCCTTAGGCGGGAGCTTGCAGGGAGGCCTGAGCTGCAGGGGGCAGGGCAGCGGAGGAAGGGGGAGTGGAAGAAAGGTGGGGGACAGGGCTGGAGTCCGGGATGATGGGGCCAGGCCACGTAAGCCCTTTTAGGTCGGAGTACGAACTTTGCATTTTAATCTAAATGTGGTAGGAAGCCACTGGAGGGTTTTGAATAGGAAAGTGTCATAAACTGTTTTATGTTTTTAAAAGGATCACTCTTGCTGTTTTGTGGATAATAAAACATAGGGGGCAAAGGTAGAGGAGACGGGGAGACCAGTTAGGATGCTATAGCAGTAATCTAGGTGAGAATGATGGTGGCTTGGAAGAGAGTGGACAGTGGTGGAATTCTGTAAGTATTTTGAAAATGGACCAACAGATTGGATGAGAGGTCAGTAAGAGAGAGAGGGAAGAATCAGGGTTGACTTCAGGGTTTTAGTTGGAGCACCTGAGTGTGGGGTGTCGTTTCCTGATCTGGGGAGGACATGGAGCAGATCGGGGTTGAGGAAACAATAGTTCTTTTGTCCATGTGAAATCAAGATGCCTGTTAGATGGTCAGTAGGGATGTCAAGTGAGGCAGTCAAAGAAACAGAAACAGGCCTGAACTACTGGGGAGAGTTTGGAGCTAGTCAAACTTGGGAGATACACATTTGGGGAGCAGGTAGGGGGAAGCCAGGGATGATTTAAGTTTAGAGACCGGGAAAGTGGAACTGCCAGAAATAGAAATGGGGAACTCAGGGGGCTGCCCTTCTGTCTTCTTTGTGACTCCCAAGGCCTCTGACTCCTCTGCATTCCCAGGTAATGCCCAGAACACCCTGGCCCAGCCCACAGTGTGGCTGACCATTGTGCTCACCACGGTCGTCTGCATCATGCCTGTGGTTGCCTTTAGATTCCTCAAGCTGAACCTGAAGCCTGATCTCTCTGACACGGTGAGAAGCCTAGTTCTCTGCTTTGGGGGACAGTGGGGACACTATCCAAAAGCCCTCTGGCTTAAGCATTGTGGCTGCAGTTTCTGGGCTGTATGACTGTTGAGCGTGTAGGTGGTGGTCGTCTGTTCTTCCTTGGAACAGACGCCTGTGCAGCTGGGTGGTTCCCATGCCTGCCCCATCCTTGGTGCCCGGGGTCCCTTCTCCCTGGTGGTGACACCGCCGCACTGACGGGGCTCCTTCCCATGTGCTCCCATCACCAGGTCCGTTACACGCAGCTGGTGAGGAAGAAGCAGAAGGCCCAGCACCGCTGTCTGCGGCGGGTGGGCCGCACAGGTTCCCGTCGCTCGGGCTATGCCTTCTCCCACCAGGAGGGCTTCGGGGAGCTCATTATGTCTGGCAAAAACATGCGGCTCAGCTCCCTTGCGCTCTCCAGCTTCACCACCCGCTCCAGCTCCAGCTGGATTGAGAGCCTGCGTAGGAAAAAGAGTGACAGCACCAGCAGCCCTGGTGGTGGGGGGCCCGACAAGCCCCTCAAGGGGTGAAGGCTGGGATTGGGACGCCCCGTGCTGATGATTGATCAGAGCACGCAGGGCTGTCCAGCTGCTCAGAGGACAGCGTCTCTGAAGTGCAGGTCCTCTAGGGTTCCTTGCCTCTCCCATCTCCCCTGGTAGACTCTGTCCTGCTGGGCCCACCGAGGGCCTGGGACCTCCCTCGCCGGGGCCCCTCCCACCAGCTGAGAAGGTCAAGGGGGCAGGCCCCAGGGCAGAGCAGGGGTTGGGGGCATCAGGAACTGGCCCCAGTAGGGGATCAGATGTGGAACCAAAAACAAGAAAAAACTGTAGAGATTGGGTCTGCCCCTGCCCTGGCCAGGAGCCCACAGGGAGACTATAATCTCTGTATTTTTTTACTCCCACTTCCCAGAGGGGCCCCAGAGCCCCTGTTCCTGAATTACACAAGAATGTATCATGCCGGGAAGCCAGAGACCAGCTGGGGCCTTCGCGCCCCTTGCATCATGTATGTCTCTCCTTGATGTGTTTGTGTCCAGTTTGGTTTTGTCTTTTTTATTGGCAAGTGGAGGAGTGCTCTCCGACTTTTATGTTGTGGTTGGTGTCTTAACTCTCCTGGGGACGAGGAGGCAGGAACACATGGGGGCCCCAGCCTGGATGGATGTGGAGGAGCCACAGCCCCCAGTTAGCCCTCCAGTGCCAGTGCTGTGGGGGATGGGGACAAGCTGACCAGGGAGGGAAGTGCCTGTCAGCCTGAGGATGTTGGGGGAGCCTAAGGGAGAGTTTGGGCCTGTCTCCTTACTCACCTTGAGAGTGAAGTGCTACCGGCTCTCCCAATACACACGCATCCAATCCACTCCTGGATCCCGGAAGTCCTGCTGGTATTGGGCTGGAGCCTGGGAAGGTGGCCCTGTCATTTGCAGTGACTTAGAGCTGGGTATGAAATTTAGTCCTAAAAAAAAGTTCTCTTTAATTATCAGTTTAGACCCAGACTCATTAGCAGAGTCCCTTCTGACTTCCCTTCTTCCTCATCTGACATTTTCCTGCACCTGTACCCTAGGACCTGAGGTGGGCCTGAAATGGGGAGCTGGCCTCCGCTTCTCCCTCCTGGTAAACACAAGGTCCCACCCCCTCAAGGCCCAGCGTACAGGGTGAGAGGAGGAGGAGGACAAAACTAGGCTCAGGCCCGGAGGCTGCCGCTCAGTGCCTGGCTCCGTCTGAACAGGACCGGCGAGCGCCTCGGCATGCCTGACCCCCTCTCCATCACACCCGGGAAGCTGTTCCCCAGTTGGGCATTTCCCAAGTGAGTTGCTGCCAAGTCAGTCTTGGGAAGAATCCTGTCTTGGGTAGCGGAGGGGGTGCTCAGGAATGGTGTGGCGCTGGGTCAGGGCAAGAAGATGAGTGTAGGGCCAGAAGGGAACTGAAGGGGGACTGTGGTGAGGTGGGGGTGGACAGGGAACAGGGGAGGGGAAAGCCTGACTGGGAACACAGCCTTCTGGCCACACAGTTTACAAACCCATCGTCATGTCTGTTCTTGTGTCTCTCAAGGTGAGAGTCTG